TTCCTGCAGTGCTGCATAACCTTCCTGCTTCTTTCTCTTCTCCCCACCACTCCTTCTTCTCCTCTAGGTCAGTTATTCCTCCTACAGTGACCGGACTCACAGGAAAAACTCGAGGAGTACCTGGTTCAGGTGACTCTGAAAGACTGCTGGTCCCGCAACTGGCATTGTGTGAAACTTGCCCCTTGGTAGAGGCTCAGCAGGGGCCAGCGTATCATTGAACCCCTTCGGGAGAGCCTCATACAATTTACACAGCCCTCAAATTTCACACAGTCCTCAGCGGAGGCCGTACACCACACTATTACTACCTGGAGAGCAGATATGTTGCATGCAAAATTTAAATGAACGTTGGCTCATGCTACGGGGCTGAATTTCCCCTTGCAGCCTGCGCAGTGGATGGATTAGGCACCTCCCCCTTGCTCCCCAGCACAAGGACAGGGGCAGCTGCTGCAGGCCTGCTGCTCCCATGCCAGATGAGCATGGTGGGGGGCAAGCAAGCAGCAACCCACCATGCAGAGTCGGACGCTGCCCATCAGCGCCAGAGTTGGGCACAAACCCCTGGGAGAACGTGCATAGCTCTAAGCTTCCCCCAGAGCATGGGGGGACGGGGACCAAGATGCGACCCGGGGGCCGTGCTGCCATCAGATGGCTTTTTTGCAGTAGGTGAACACCACCACGTTTGTGTTCATCTGGTGAACTTGGACACGGGTAACCATGGGGCCGTTGTGGTCCTGCCTCTGGCATGGACCATTATCACGCTCGCCCTGTTACCTGCTCGGGGGCTTCCCAGGCTGAGGTCTGGGCTGCTGCACGCCTGGCCTTGTTACCTTCCCTGGGTGGTCTTGGAAGAAGTTGGGCATGCCTCAGCCCCAGCTGTGTGGACCCCAGCCCGAGCGCCGCAGCAGCAGGGCACTCGCCTGCAGTGAGTGTTCAGCACAGCTCTCCATGTCTTGTTTTCCTGATCGCTAAAGCCGACTCTGAGCAGCATGGAGATCTGCAGGAACGTACTCCCAGAGTTAGTCTTATGGACGCAGCTTTGTAGTCCATTGGACTTGCCTGCCGGCCCATCTCCCAACAGGGCTACCCAAGGAAACACGCTTGTAGCTTGCAGAACGACAGGGGAAAGGGGCAGGCGACCCCGCTGCTCAAGGGGCAGCAGGCTGCAGCAAGGCTCACCCAAACCTCCAAGCCTTCTCTCCCCAGTGATGTTGAATCAGTTTGCCTCTTTGAGGCAAACCTACAGCATAAGCATATTCAGGGAGAATTAATCATACTTTACCCCATAATATGTGGCGATCGTGAGATGCAGAGAAGCACAAAGCTGCTTATGAAACGATGGGGAGAGAGCATCCCTGCCCTTCCTGTCCGAATTATTAGCCTGGAGCTTTTGTTCAAATATTAATGCTTTCCTGATTATCTGCTCCTTATGAAAAGGTGATTGTGCTTGCAGACTCTCTGAATAATTAATTTTAAATATTAAAGCCAGAGAGAAGTGAACTTTTACTTAACAGTGGGTTAGAGCATGGCCTTCCCATGCCATGCTTGCCCCAGGGGAGGAAAGCAATGGGGAGCATTCCCAGCACCCCAGCCCTTTGGGAGATGGCAGTACGGAGAGCAAGAACAGCAGTAGGAGTTGCTACAGACCATCTTCTCCCACATGCATGTAGGAGTGGAGTGGGGAAGGAAGAAAGGAACTGGGGGGAGAGGGGGATGGGGGGACGGCTCAGTGAGCTTTTCATCTAAATTTTTAAGCCCCTCAGCATCAGTGCTTCTGTGGGTAGACACTGATGGGGTCACCGCCTTTCCTCAAAAGAGACAAATGAAGCAGACAGTGCAAACTTGTGTCACACTTATTCCAGCTATCCGCGGTGCCATGAGCAACCCAGGTGTAATCCACCTTTTGTTTTTTCATGGCACTTCCCAAGGTCAGTGAAGAACCTGGATTCACTCACTGCAATTTCATACACAGCTTAACACATGGGTTGGCAGATGAGCAACTGCAAGCTCTGAGCAGTTGGCCCAGGCATTTGCACTTGCAGTCCCTTCGGAAGGACACATTCTTGAAAGGGATTTGAGGTATGGTTAAGATGTGCTGGGAGGTGAAGCATGAGGTGACAGAAGAGACAACTCCTTGCATATGTGTCCCACCTAAACTGGTGTCTCTTGGCCACTGTGGGAAAGCACCAGGTTGGTTCACAGAATCAAACAATGGTAGGGGTTGGAAGGGACCTCTGTGGATCATCTAGCCCAAACCCCCTGCCGAAGCAGGGTCACTTACAGCAGGCTGCACAGGACCTTGTCCAGGCGGATCTTGAATATCTCCAGAGAAGGAGACTCCACCACCTCCCTGGGCAGCCTGTTCCAGTGCTCCGTCACCCTCAGAGGGAAGAAGTTCTTCCTCATGTTCGGATGGAACTTCCTGTGCTTCAGTTTGTGCCCATTGCCCCTTGTCCTGTCGCTGGGCACTACTGAAAAGAGTTTGGCCCCATCCTCCTGTCACCCACCCTTGAGATATTTATGAACATTTATTAGGTCCATGTGCTGGCAGGAGGAGAGAGAAAAGAGATGGTGGTTTATAGCGGCTTGGGAGAGGACTGCTGCTCTGACCCTGGGGCAGAGGCTTTGACTTATGTCATGTCTCAGTGGCAGAACAGCCCACCACAACCACTGCACAGGTGCCTCCAGCCCTAGCAGCAAGGAAGGTCCCAGCATCTCCACTGTCGCTTCTGGCTATGCTTGCACTGCTGGATGGCAGAACAGCAAGGAGCGAATCCTAGCCTAGTAGCTAAACAGCAGATCGCCTGTGCATGGCTACAGGCCAGCCTGCTCTGTTGGCAGATGTACCTTGGAGGGGCCAATTTAAATGATCTAAAACATCGACCTAATAATTACCCACTGCAGATAATCAGGAATTCAGTGCTTGAATTTAGTCCCTGGTCTTCCCATACTTGGCAAGTGTAGACACATCTTCCACCTTCTCGGGGAGCTAGGGACAAAAGTGCAGGCACTCTCACAAGCCAGAACATGTGCTGTAAGACTTCAGGGAAAAGGCAGAAAGCAGGTGAAAGCAGACTCCAGGTTAGCGCGTCTGGAGATGCGTCCTCCAGGACAGTTTTAAAAAACACCGTGACTTTCATGATTTCTGTCTTTTTTGAGTTTTCTGCTTGGACGCTACAGCTCTGAGATGCTTTGATGTAGGTAATTTGCCAGTGCAGCAGCCTTGGGCAGCTCAGGAGTCCAGAACCGGCTGGGCTGAGAGCATACCCATCCATCCCGTCCTCGCCTGCTGTAATGGGTGTTAGATCCCACCTCAGCGGGGACCAGAGGGCGTTCAGTGTTGCTGAATGCTTGTGCCAATCGATTGGAGTTTATTAGTTCCATTACTTCTATTTACACAAGTGCTTTTGCTGTCCTCCCATAACTCAGCCCCGTCAGGCTAACGCAGGTGATAAGTCACTCCACTCCCTGCTTCCAGCAAATGGCCGCTCCAATGGGCGTTCGCTTTCTGCCTGCACGGACCAACTACAGCCTGTGTCGGTGCTGCAAGTGGACAAAACAGCTCTGTGCCGAGCGTAGTACATATGACCCGCCATGAGCACTGCTCTTTCAGGGTTTGGCCGAACGAGGGGATGGGGGAGGCAAAAACCTCTCAGGCTCCTCGTGGAATTCAGCCCCTGCTGTGTTAAGGAGCTGCCGGTACTGCCGCTGTGCCCTCTTGTTACTAAATCCTGTTACAGGATTAGTCTGTCTGCATGCTCGGCGTTTTGCTTTCATTTTTGAAGCAGGGTGAATTGTTCAGTGGTCTGTATAATCGGGAAACGGTGTGTTGGAGGAGCCAGGTGTTGCCTAAATTGGCATTGCAATCTCCTGCATACAAGGGGGCTTATGTTACGTTGGGTTGCTACGTTCCCCACTCCTCTCCATCCTGGTGAGGTCCTACATGTTGCCAAAGGGCAAGAGATCGCATCCTGCCGTTTTTACTGAAGCTGTTGACACTACATGATTATTGCAGCATTAGAAAACTCACAAAGTATCTCTGTGCCATCCGCTTTAAAATCCTTTTTCCCCAGACAGACCATGTGAACATGACAGACTGGTTCCATGTTCTGCAATGGATGGGTCTTTTCCCCCTACAAGCAAGCCCTTATGCCCCTTGTTTTTATTACAGTCTGATGTAAGATTCCACATAAAGATCTCCTCTCTGTCCCCACAGGAATTATAGTAATCATTTGTATGAACATGAAGGCTTTCTGACCTCCTTTCAGACTAGCTGTTTTCAACCTTTGTGAGACAGATTCTCTCTTCCAGAAAATCATCAGCCGTCCTCTCCAGGCATGGTGGGATAAGGAAGGAGATTTTTTTTTTTCCACAGTTTATATTGTCACACAGCCAAAGATTCATCAAGGTTTCCAAATTACAAACCTAATTTTAGAAGGGCAAATTTTTTTTTTTGAGCTGATAAGCCTACATAATTTCTCCCGTTTGCTGCCTCAGACCTATCCCCCACAAATCCTAATGCTATCAAGCATACCCAACAGGCTGTTAGGTTTCAGCACAGTCCTGCTTTTGCTGGATGGTCTGAAGCTGGAATCTGTATAAAACGGGATTAGACATGAAGCATGTCAGCTGGTCAAAGGGATGTTCTGGGACAAGCACAATAAGGAGCCCACCACAACAGTTCTTGTTTAACGGAGCAAGGACCATCTTCTCAAAATGTTCCTTTTAGGTCATATTTTAATTGAAATGGACTGATCTATGCACCAACGGGGAATTACGCGTGACTTCTAAAACCCTGCCTGGCTCAGCTGAGCTTCGGTTTCTCACAGTCCCTACATCTGAATGCCTGGCAGACATGTGCAGGAGTTCTCCATACAGGACTTTCTCTGAAGAGCTAAATACTTCTCAGGGCCTGACACAATCAACTCGTGTGCTGCTGGTTCAGCCAAGCAAAGCCCACCTGAGCCCAACACTGCTAAAAATCAAGTGCCCAAATCTGGGATGAGATGGCCTGCAGAAAGTCAGTGGATGTTTCAGAGAAGCTGGTGGTTGGTCTGCTGGTTTATGAGGCGCAGCTGGAATTTCTTCTTTCGCCTCTGGGTTTGCGAAAGAAGGATGAAGATGGTAATATTTACACCACAGAGGGCAGGGGCAGTTGTGTGTATGTATAAAACAACCGATGGGCCTGGTTATCTTACTTCTTCTTCTAGCTGCTACAAATTTTCCAGTATTTTAGTAAACGAAGAGTAGAAGGTTGAGTATGTCAAACGAAACTTGGACCACGAATGCCATCCAGTGGCTAGCACACACTAGCACACTTGCCATCAGTAACAAACCCTGAATTGACTGAACAAACATTAACTCTTCCTCCCACGCGGTTTACAATCATTCACACTGCTTTTTTTTTTGCACTTGGCCCCACCAGAGTCCAGGCTTATACTGAAAAAGTGTAAGAAACCACACATATGTCGTATCTAGCTTGTTTCAAAGTGCATTTTCCCTTCCGCACCTCCGTTTTCTTCAGAAAGTATCATCTAGAGCTTAGTCTCTGTGAAGTAATCCTCATCAATGTTGTACATGCTGCTGAGCGTGTATTTAATCTTTCCTCACGCACCTGATGCGTTAAGTTCTCCTGCCCCTTCACAGTGAGTGCCTTCAGCCGAGAGCCATGGGGGAAATGCATTAAAGTGAATTTGGGGTGCAGAGCAAAACTGACTCTGTCCTGTGACGGTGTGTTACATACACAGTTACACACTGTTGCCCCTAGGTAGTTCATGCAGCCCCCATGAAACAGTTCAGCAGCACAACAGGAATGCTCAGTGGTGGCTGGCAGGAGGCAAGGAGAAAGCTGTAGTTGCAACAGGTTGTACTAGAGATTGGCCTGGCACCTACTGCTACATCCTCCAAAAACCCAGTTAGCTAACTGCCACCACAGTCACATCACAGTCATCTGCATCCCACTCTGGTCTGCTCCTCTCCCACATCCACTGAGATCGAGCAGGCAGAGCCGCAGGACCACGAAGCCCGGCCAGGACACGTCTGTGCATCCGCTCAAGCCTTTGTGCGGGGGACTCGCAGTGGGCTCCGAGCAGAGCCCTGAGGGACACCATTCCCTGCTGTCAGAGCCAGGGAAGAAAGCAGAAAGGTGGTCCAGCGTGGGAATTCTCCTTCTGCTTTTAGACAGAAAACATTTATTTTTTTTCATGCTCCACAGGGATGAGGAGTCCTGTCCTGGACTGCCTGGACAGCCAATCTGTTGCCTGCTCCCACGGGCATGGAGGAGGAATTCAGCGTGCAGACACTGTGAGGTAAAGTGATGAGAAAACTCTGTAAAGCAGCAGGGTGGAGGCTTAAAAGAGAGAGGAGCTGAGGGTCCCATGGTCAAAGCAATGCAGGGATGGTATCTGGGGGACAAGGGGCAGGACTGACTGACCAGCACAGACGTGATCCTTCTGGGATGGGAGCTCTAGCGGGCTGAGGCCATGCTCTACACATGGACCTGAACAGGCAGGCTAAAGGCTTGCCCGTTAGCCCCAGGCATACAGCAGGTCCTGGGCATACAGATAACGTCTTCTGTGCTGGCAACAAACCATCTCAGAGGCACTATCCGCAGGCCTTCAGCTACTCAGAGCCAGGCATGCCTGGCATGTACAACCTGAATACTCTCCATGGGTGCTGTCTCCACCACAGAGGTCAGTCGTAATCAAGATCACGACAGGGAGGTTTATCGGAAACACGAGGGCATTGCGCACGCAGGTGATGCAGCTGACGCGGTTGCGCAGGAGTCAGCTCTGCTGCAAGCTCCCACGATATAGCGGAGCAAACCCACCACGGTAGCAGCGATTGCTCGCCCTGCGGACGGCAGGGTGAAGACAAGCGTCCCTGCAGTGACCCAGGAATAGCTGCTGCAACTGATGTTCCGCCAGAATACAGTCATGATGCTCAGGATGCCATGAACAGCCAACAGCTCCAGGGGAAACTGGGCAGCAGACAGCTTTGCATGCCTCCTGATGGCAGACACTTCAACGTACTTGCCAGCTCTGAGCTGCAGTAACGCCGGTCGGCGGGTGCCAGGCGCTGCCAGAATGCAGGGCTACCAAGGGGCAATGCCCATCCACTGCTGAAATGAGAGCGGGGCCCAGTGAGACTAAGAATTGCACATCCTGAGCTAGTGCCGTGGAAGAGGCTTTCCCTGGCCTGAAGCAAATGGGCTGCTGTTGATCATCACACCTCTGCAGGAGGGCACGTTCCCACAAGGAGCACCTCTGGTGCATGCCCAGGTCCCAGTGCCGCAGCCAGTACCCACCTGTGGCAGCTGGGACCCGCTGTAAAAAAGGCACAATTCCTTTGTGGAAGCTGGCTGGCCGGGCTGTTCACCAGACGGGTGCCAACTGAGGCTGCAACGAACATTCATGGCGAGGACTTGGGTCTGGAGAGGTGTCTGGCATCCTGCCGTGGGAGCTGCACTGCACCCCCCGTGCTGAGCAGCTCCTCCAGTCTGCCCTGAGCAAAGGCTGCCGTTGTCCCTCAGACCTGCCAGCATAGCTGCACGTGGAGCTGCTCCTTAACCATGTTATACCAGTGATCCCAGCTAGAAAATCCCTGCTATTAGAAGCATGCACATTAGCCCGGATCGTAGCGACAGGACTGGATCAGGGAATAACTACGCATGAAGTCGGGAAGAGGTGCTGCTCTCCACCAGCTGGGTGCCGTAATCTTGTCTTCCTCCACAGCCCCCGACGGCGCGGCACAGCCGAGCGGTTCGCAGGCATGTGACGCGGTGGGCCGCCTGCCAGGGACACTCAGGAGGCTTACGTTACTCCCGTTCTGGAAAAGCATAGGGACTGTCCCGCCGGGCCCACGCGCCCGTTCGGAGTCCCCGTCGCTGACACGCTGGGGCGCGTGTCGACAGG